TGCTATCGACTCGAAACAGTCTCCCCTGATGCGCCGCTGACCTCTAGCACAATGTCATGGGCTAGAGCTATGACCTGGACAGAAGAGGTCAAGACTCAGATCAGCCAGTCTGAGTCACCAGCTGCTCATTTAAACCCCCTTTGTTCCCCATTCTGATGCTCAGTGTGAACTTCAGCAGGTGTCAGGCTGAATAGACGTCTGTGTTAATGTCATTTGAACAGGTGGACCTAATAACATGCCGTGGATAGGCAACAGGGACATATTGTGGAGCATATTTAAAATATATAACTTAATTTAGGCCTGAATGTGAAAAAAGGTTTAGTTGTTTCATTGATATGTAAGTTATTTATACGTTATGTGTCTGTTTTTAGGGATTACCTGGCAAGACAGGTGCTGAAGGTAAAAGTGGAGCCCCTGGAGCAAAGGTATACTTCACCTTTCACACATGTTAACTGTCCAGCTAAAAGATTTCACTGGTTTTTAACTGTCTCTGTTTGCTTTTCTATAATTCAGGGCAGTCTTGGTGAAAAGGGTATGCTGGGTCTTCCAGGCATTCAGGGAGACGTGGTTAGACTTCATTATTTATTTCACTCTGTGGCATTAATAAATTTGGTCGAGCATATTTGATATCATGTGTGCAAACACAGTGTAATGTGTCTGCATAACTGTGTTTCCCAGGGCATCAGAGGTATGAAAGGCGTAAAAGGCGAGCCTGGATCACGAGGGAAAGTGGTAAGAGAGCATTCTTAAACATTTAAATTGCAGTTTTAATACTTAATAGTAAGTGCCATAAATGACTAAATGATCTTACCGGATCATCTGACATATTTCAATTCCAAAAATTACATTTCTTTACTATGCTGTTGCTATTATAGTGTGATTCTAGACTTTTCTGAGTATATTTCACTGTAATTTTAGGGCACAATGGGGAAGATGGGGGTCGTAGGCTCTCCAGGTCCTAAAGGTCAAACTGGACCTGGTGTTCCTCCTGGTCCTCCAGGAGCTAAAGGAATCCAGGGACCAAAGGTAAGAAGAACGCGTGGCTCAAACCATGTAACTCTAAAACAGTTTCTTAATTCCCTTAAATAAAGCTTTCATAGTGAAGATACTTTTAACCTGCTTCATGCAACTTTCATGTCACTGAATTCATCTTGAAGGGAAAAGGTGGTGAGCCAGGAAGTACAGGGACAAAAGGAGCTGCTGGGCACATTGTGAGTTTTGTTTTAAGCCGAGTGACCCTTCACATCTCAGACTGGAGTTACGAGATTAGTTACTATGACTATTATGAAATATAGTTTATTTCAACATTTATGGTATAAATCCCACGTGCACTAGGTGTGTATTATGCTATCTTACCAATTTGATGCTATTTTTTTTATCTGTTTTAACAGGATTATCTGGTGTCTTAATTGTTGTTCAACACTTTGTGACTGTTATGTCAGTGAAAAGCACTAAAGCATCTAAATAAACTTTACTTACTTCCACTGGGTGTCTGATAAACACAGATTAATTATTCAGTCTTCTGTGAAGCCTAATTAATGATTCACTCTGAATTAAATAATAAACAATGAATGTTAACAGTAAAGGTTAAACGGTTTTGGCCTTGATTTCATCCAGTGAAGTTTCTTGTCTCTTTCGTAGGGACCTGAAGGCCTGCCGGGGAGGTCAGGACCTGCTGGACCACCTGGAAAACCTGTAAACATCCCAACTAACAAATGCAATTCTTAACACGAAACACCAACAATGCTCATTTCGTTTGATCGTCGTTTTTGTGATCATATTCTCAGGGACTGAGTGGTCTGGATGGCTTGCTGGGAATTCAGGGTAATGAGGGAGATCCGGTAAGAAAGTTTGCCTTACTAAAATTGATTTTAACACATTTCACAATTTTTTCATTAATTTCTTTTTCCCCTGCTAACTTCAAAGGGTGACGTCGGTCACAGAGGAGCTCCTGGAACGCCAGGCAGGCCTGGCAAGACGGTAATTTCACTAAGGAAATGAATGACATGCAAATCTGCACAATTACAAATTGAATAAGTCTTTTGCAGCTAAGCTTTTCTTACAGATTATTGCATTATGTGGTATTAAATACATGCATACTTTGCAGGGAAAACCTGGATCTCCTGGGATTAAGGGAAACGCTGGAGAAGGGGGGGTGAAGGTAAGCAATCATTTATACATTTCAGGTGACTATTATAAGCACGTGGTGCTTATAAAATTGTCTTTTTTATTATGTTTGATGTAATGCATTGTTGAAATGTTTCTTACTAAGGTCTCATTAAATATCTCAGGGTAAGAGGGGTCTAAAAGGAACACATGGGCCTCCTGGACCAATTGGGCCAAAGGTAAAAGGATTAGAGAGCAGGATGTGATCGCTAATAAAAACCTTACCCCTGTTCGTGTGAACATTTGCATCATCTGCTGCTGTTGGTTCAGGGCATTCCAGGGCTGAGAGGAGAGAAAGGTGAATCTGGAAGTCTTGGCACGAAGGTAAGAGTCAGTTACATATTTTGTGCATATATTCATTCAATATGCTTGATAAAAATAAATTATCATTCAATTTGAATAAATCTAAACTTATGTTATTTGGAAATAGTAGTTTAAATACAAATGCAAAGATTCAAATAAATGGTGTTGATATTGAAAGAGTCAGTGAAAATAAATTTCTGGGGGTAATAACAGATGAAAAAGTTAACTGAGAGCTCACGTAAGATATATTCATTCCAAAGTATCACGAAGCATTGCAGTACTAAACAACGCAAAACAGGTATTCGACAGAACATCACTCCATATTCTCTACTGTACACTGGTTTCACCATACTTAAGCTATTGTGCAGAGGTCTGGGGCAATAACTATAAAACATTACATTCACTTTTTACTCTTCAAAAAAAAGCAATTCGAATCATCCACAGTGCAGGTTATAGGGAACACACAAACTCACTATTTTTGCACTGAAATATTGAAAATTGACGATCGAGTGAAATTCCAAACAGCACAAATTCTATTCAAAGCAAAAAATAAAGAACTGCCAGGAAATATTCAGAGTATGTTTGTTTTGAAAGAAGGAAGTTATAATTTAAGGGGTTTTTGTAACTTCAAAACAATGAAGGTACTACAAGAAAAGGCTTTTGTGTTTCTGTTCATGGAGTGAAACTGTGGAACAGTCTGAATATGGAATTAAAGCAACGTCCAAACATAAAACTGTTCAAAAAGAGTTTAAAAATATGATCTTCTCGAACTATAAAGAAAAGGAAAATATTTAAATTAAGTGAATGTCTCTATTTAAAAAAAAAAATTCATGATATGATATGATATTATAGTATATCAGAAATCTGTTCACTATTTTTATTACAAATTATATCAGTAAGGAAGCAACTAAATATTAACTGATCATTTATGGCAAAGGTGTGGGATTAAATAAGTGTTTACTTCTTCCCTTTCAACATGTAAATTAATCAGAACGTTTTTTTTGTATATTATTTTTTTTCTTTCTTATTTTGTTTTCTAAATGTACTTGTATATTGTTCACATGTTGAAATAAATTACCAATCAATCAATCAATATGTCAGAATTCTCATATAAAATATATTTGTGTATTTGTAACTCCTTTAATTTCTTTTCTTTCTATAAAGGGTCTCCCAGGTGATACAGGGATACTTGGACCGATAGGTCCACCTGGATTAAAGGTGAATTGTAGTCAATTTAAATATAAAATGCTTTAAATGAAAAAGGCGGATTTTGGATTAATCTACCACATGTCTGACTTGTATATCAGGGGAATCCTGGTTTGCAGGGATTTAAAGGTGAAAAGGGTGATAAGGGGAAACAGGTCAGCTACGCTTTACTCCCATTATTGCATTGTTTTAATTATTTGTATTCAATAAATAATCTATTAACCATTTACTACAGGGGGACACTGGTCCTCGTGGTCCAGCCGGGCAGGAAGGCTTCTCGGGAATCCCTGTAAGTTGCTTTGATGTTCAGTTTTTTGTAATGACTAAAATATCTTGATTAGTGAAGTTTTACTGAACAATATTTAAAAAACTGTCATGTTGTAACCTAAAAACTTTGTTTGATACACTCGTCTCTGTTACAGGGCCACCTTGGAGTGAAAGTGGGTGACTGACTTTGTGTTTCTATAAATGTTTAAGTCTTAGCATTAGTCCATTTGTATTCACTGTTGTTCATTGCTGAATTGTGTTTGGGCCACTACAGGGAATGAAAGGTGTCCGAGGCAGGAGAGGTCCAAAGGGAACGAAGGGCAAGCCGGGACCTCAAGTAAGAGTTTGCAAACACAATATAAGCGAAGAAGCTTTGGACCTGATTGCTGAACACAAATGCAACATGCTAGATTGTTTTGAGATGTGTGTAAAGCTTTTCTCCAAATATCCTGAAAGTTTGTATCATGCCCTGCCTTTCACAGGGAAAACCAGGAGCACCTGGCAAACGGAAGCCTAAGCAAAGACCTGTTAAAAAATATAGTTTTCAAACTGCACAGAGTTCAAAGCAAAGCCCCGGCCTCCTGCAGCAAAGCGAAGGCCAACAAAAAGTTGGTACAAGCTTTCTTATTCCGTGCACATTATATACAGTCACAGAATGTCCTCATTTGCTCTGCAGTCTAGCTTTAAAAGGAAAACATGTTGAGCTGACTGAGTGAATGCTGAACACTGTTTTCCTGTAGCCCAGAGGAGTGACAAGGAGATGGTCTC